GGGTGCCATAACAAAGAAACAGAAGAATAGCAATATGTCACCCGACATTGTCGATCAGGTGACATAATAAAAATAATAAGAACTAAGCAAAAACAATAAGTTTTCCCAAACTTTTTTTGGGAGACTTAAATATAAAAGTGGAAAAATAAACTTTAAAAAAATTTAAATATTTTAAAAGATACAAGATTTAGATCAATAATGGTTCGAGTATTCTATGAAATTTAAGTCTTTGATGAAAAATAAATTCAACTTAAATAATGAATACCCTTATTTTGACCTATCATTGCTTAAGGCAGTATGGTTGTTGTTACAAAATGTAACAGAAATTATCTCATACTTTGAGCTATTTCAAAATTTAAATACAAATTATAGGTAACCAAGCTTGTTAAAGGATTATACAGTAAATGAACATTATTATATGAATAGAAAGAAAACAAAATGACATAATTTAAAATTATAAAATGCTTTTAGAAACTTAAAAGGCATACTTTTAAGATTGCTAAATACCAAAAAAAAATAATATAATATTACACATATTTGTTACAAAATTAATCTTATTAAATAACTCCCATTTTATGGTCAAGTACAAAAATTTCGAGCCAATAACAGGAAACTATCAAGGTTAAAATCACATATTGTTTTATTTTATGGTAATATTCTTTACAAAGCACAAAAATGTCGGCATTCACCTCAAAAGCTAACCAAACCTTTAAACAGACTTGTTCGGAAAGGATATAGTTACGATACTGTTGTCAGGTCATTAAGGATTGCATATTTTGGTATTAATATTGATTCTCTCATAGGGTCTTTGCATCGGAAATAAACACATTTATTCTAAAACCAGTTGTCGGCATGATACGGGTTATGTTCTTCTCATATATTTTATGATAGTATGACACTAAACCCCTAACTGGAGGGATTGTACTTGATTTTCATATGATGAAGACATAATCTTTCAATCAGTTTAATTGAGGTCTGGAGCTGGCATGTCAGTAACTGCTAGTAGTCCTTTATTAATTTGTGTATCATTGTCATTTTGCTTAGTTTCTTTTGTTACCTATTCTGACATCGGAATCAGACTTCTTTTAAACTGAGTTTTACTGTGCGTATTGCTATGTGTTTCTTTATTCTACATTGGCTAGAGGTATAGGGGGAGGGTTGAGATCTCACAAACATGTTTAACCCTGCCGCATTTTTGCGTCTGTCCCAAGTCAGGAGCCTCTGGCCTTTGTTAGTCTTTGTATGTTTTTTAATTTTAGTTCATTTGTATGATTTGGAGTTTAGTGTGACGTCCATTTTCACTGAACTAGTACACCATTTTATTTAGGGGCCAGCTGCGGACCACTTCCGGGTGCGGGATTTTCTCGCTGCGTTGAAGACCCATTGGTGGCCTTCGGCTGTTGCCTCCCTTTTGGTCGGGTTGTTGTCTCTTTGACATATTCCCCATTTCCATTCTCATGTTGTCTCTTTGACATATTCCCCATTTTCATTCTCAATTTTATTCATTTTTGTTAAAAGTTTTACAAAAGAATTGCATTCCAGCCTCAAAGTTTCCTTATATCATAAAAAATGTAGACCAATTGTTTTCTGATCCAAACTGGTGGGAGACCCCAATATTATCCTAAATTAAATTAAAGAGCCTTTGTGTGCATGCTTACATACCCCACACCCTTACATTTTCACTGGGGAAACAAAATCTCACCAGATTTCAACGACTCATAACTCCTACAAAAGTCAACTGCTTAAAATTTCTTGTGGATATGCACATCTACATATTATGTCCTAATTATCTACAAAGTTTCATAAAACTCTGAACTTTGGTTACAGAGAAGTTGCGATGACAAACTGTTGCAGCAGTAACTTTTGGCCAAAATTCTAAATTCAAAGTGGCTTAAGTCCTAGAAAAAAAATTGAATCATAATTTTCTGTCGATATGCACATCAACATAGTATGTCCTTCTTATCTACAAAGTTTCATGATGAAATTCTGTTGTGTGGTTTCGAAGCAATTGCGATGACAAACTGTTGCAGTAGTATATTTTGGCCAAAATTCTAAGTTCAAAGGGTCATAACTCCTAGAAAAATGTTGAATCATAATTTCCTGTCGATATGCACATCACCGTAGTATGTCTTAATTATCTACAAAAGTTCATGAACGGAATGACTAACAGACTGATGGGTCTAACACATTATTTGTTCCGTGGTGTAAAAGGTTTGTCCTCAACAATATTTGTCACATATACAGATTACCATGACCTTTGTTAGAATGTGTACGCATTTGAATTTATTTTGTTACACCTTAAGTTTGGCCCCATGGTGAGGCCATTTTTATTTTACTTCTTTTTCATATAAAAAATAAAGATAATAAAAAAAACTTCTTGAAAGATAAGTTGAAGTCCAGTAAGAAAGTAATTCCATAACATTCTTGAAATAGAAATGTTCTTTTACAGGTTTCTTGAGAAAAAAAAAAAAACTGGAACAATTCAACATCTCTGAGGTTTCAATTTAGATGCGAACATTAAAATATCATATATTCTGACTAAAATGATAACAGCAATCTGTCTTTATCAGTTGACTGTCAAACTAAATTACTGTTTATGATCTTCACCAGTCCTTTCTGAAACAAAAATTTTATTGTTACTTTTCACATTATTTCAGTATGAAATGTATTCTAGATAAAAAAAAAAAAAAAAAAAATGGCAAAAACATTTTGCATTTTCTTACAATAAAACTGACAATAATCAATTTTGATTTTAAAATGATTGATTTTTAAGGGTACTTATATCACTCTTGGATACATCATGGCAGCCAGTTTTTATTGATGTAGGAAGATGAAGTACCTGTGCATAACCAGCAACCTTTGGCAAGAAAACTTCCAATCCTAGTCAATTCAGATAAGTGTCCAACACACCTACCCCGAGCAGGGCTCAAACTTCTTACCTCAGTGGGACAAAACATTTTAAATTCAAATGGAGCCCAACATCCATGCATTCCGTCATCTTTATATACTTCATGTCAAACTTTATTTTAAAAAAAATGTTGAATGAAAATACCTCAATCATGAGGTATTAATATATATTTTGGTAAAATACTGGAACTGACTGGATAAATTTATTTATCCTGCAATCGACCTTTCTACTATACTAATACAGGTGTACAGATAACACGAAGCGATATACGTATACTAGACGTATATATAGTCTCCTGGTATCCTGCTTCTGTTGCGAGCGAACGGTTATGTCAAATTACTGTTTACGTCACAGTTCAATTTGGGGTCCTCATTGCGGTCCGCATTGAAGTCATGTCGATTTCTTTCAAAAACAAATTCATCGATTGGGATGGGAAAAATGTACAAATTTAATTGAAGGATAAAGACAATAACTGTTTAGTGTCTTTAAATATCAGTTGTATTTGTACTCTGCTCGAAACAGGAGTAATAGCTCGCTGAAGCTCGCATTACACCGGTTTCTTAGCCTCGTACAAATACAGCTGATATTTAAAGACACTAAACAGTTATTGTCTATATAATTGTTTGTATTAACCTTACACTAATGTAGTGTTCGGCAGCTTTGTATATATTCTTTAATGAGTTTTAAATATAGGACTGCCATCATCAGGGATTGTCCTGTGTTTCTAATTTCTTATTTTATTTGAAGTAAGCAAATCTGCTAAATGTTTGTGCCTTTTATAAGCTATAGTCGGTTTCTATGTCTAAAATCTTATCGCAAATCACATGTTTCTGTAAGATATGCTTGTTTGATTATGTATTTTCTCAGTTTTCCTATGCATTGGTTATATTTGATTGACAAAACTAAAAAAATTTCCTTTTTATGTCTTTCAGAATTTTTTTTCAGTAGAGCTTTTCTGTCTCTTATTATTCCCTTATTTATATGAGCAAATGGACATTTCTCTCTCTTGCTATTGTCTAATTTATACGAGAAAATGAACAATTCTCTCTCTTATCATCGCCTTATTTATATGAGCAAATGGACAAACAAATGAGAACGTGAAGAAATGGATAGCACCACTTTACCGACAATGAGGAACAACCTGTATATATATAATTCCATGAATCCTACAAAATATAGCTTACTACCATGATACTCTACCTTCTGTCCACTGGTGACCTTGACCTTCTTCTGTAAGGTGAATTTGACCTACAATAGAAAAGTGATCAATTTAATATTGGTTTTTATATTTTACAAAATGTCTTATTTATATCTAAGGAGAAAGGACAGGAAGAAAAAGAAAGTTAGATTTACTAGGACAAAACTAGATAAGTCCATTGTCGCTGTTCCGTGAGTATGCTTATATAGGCAACAGATTGTCAAAGTCCGTTAACCGCAGAAACCATTGTCAAATCAAAATGATGATTTAGTATAGTTGACTACACAAAATGACAAAAATGATAGGTACAAATACTTTCTTGTAAACAGTCACATATTGATGTGTTCACGTGGTTTCATTCAGGTGTCATTGCCTTACATTAGAAAAATATGTCAAATCAAAATGGCGATATAGTATTTTCAGGAAAATATGATGCAAATAATCCTACCATCTGTGAAAGTTTTCTACAAGACAGATAGCTACTATTAATACTAATGTGATATTACTATGAACCTACTTTTTACAAGAGCTACATTAATATTTTTAATTTACTAGTTTGTAAGGTAACATTCCACTAGAAGACATGTAACCCTACCTGGACACATTATTCTGACTCTGAGCTGACAGATATTTCTCTTATACCTGCTGCAAGTTTGGCAAAAAGTCAGCAAATATTTTGTTTTGACATTGAGAGGGATCAAACTCCGACCTACAACAGTGTATGAGAGTATGCTACCAAGAGACACCTGAGGCAGTTTCCTGATCTGTGAAATTTTGCACTATATCCATGAAAAATCATAAAACATCTATTATACAAACCTGCTGCGACTATCACTGTGTCCTCGTCTCCTTGGTGATGGTGATCCCCTGCGTCTTGGAGAAGGAGATCTGCAAAAAGTATAAAATAGAGACTGACTAAACACAAACGCTCCATCAATAGATTACATTCATAAAAAGGCAAGATAATTGCAACACAATCAGATGTACAAATTTCAAGATTTATTAGGGAAAGCTTACTCCTGAAAAGGCATTTTCTTATCACTAAGAAACACTAACCACAACCTGGAAAGCTTCTAGAACAAAGTAAACATTTCAAAGTTATTTTCCTACCATATCATTATTTTCTTTTGTTTAACAGATTGAATGATTGTTCTAATGTAGTAGAAAAAGTGGTACAAATCATTGATTTGAGATTGAAAACTAAAAGCAATAGACCACTTTCGAGTTCATCCTTCACCGGAAAAAACTCGTCAATTATGAGTGCCTTTATGACGTCATTTACCAGATAGAGGGGATCGCCTGTATCCCTGCACTATTAACGTTCATCAAGTGTCTAAGTGATCGTCATTGTGCAGGATAAACTAGAAATAATGTTTGTTTTGTAAGTACTTAATCACAATTCCCTAATGACAGCAGTGCTGATTGTTAATTATGAGAATTTAATTTGCCGAATAATTCGTGCAATATAGCATTATAGTTTTCCAACCACTCGCTCAACATTGGAACGGAAGTGATGATGCCCCTAAACGCACGAATGATGTTCACTAAAACCAGATTTTTTGACGGAAATGCATCGAACTTGAAAGTTGTCTATTGTTATTTTATACATGATATCTGTGTTATGAAATATGTACATAACAGGAGGGCAAGTTACTTTCTAAAAAATTAAATTAAATTAAAAAGTGCACCTTTGATAGCTTATGCCTCTTTTTTCCATGGATGTGTAATAACATTAATGCATTATCTTTTTACCAACAGTGTCGAAAAAAGTTCATTTTTAATTTTTTTTTTTTTAATTGTCATTATTCAAACAGAACCTTGATCATTGTTGATGATAAAACTATAAACTCTATCCCTCTACCTCAAGGTTATTTAAACCCAAAGGGATATAAATACGCACAACTTTACACTGTGCAAACCAATCTGTTCATGTAACTTTACCTTGAAAACCCCTTACAGATGCTTCTTTATAAATTATGTGCATGTATAAAGGAAATATGTTTATCTATATAAATATCAAAATACATGTATAAACAATATCTGTATCCTCTTGATAACAGATACCTTGCTAATTTATGCCCAAAATACCAACACAGCAAATTACTTCCATAATGAAACCAACATTTTCAGATATATTTCATGAATAGGCCTAACTGTGAAACGAAATCCTCTCCCAAACTAACAATTAAGTTAAAGTCATATGAAACGAGTTTCTTTAAATTCCAATGTTTCAAAACTATTCAAACATAGCATGCATATATTTTATATTTATTATGAATCTATAAATTAACATACATGTATTATCAACAAATAATATTTCATTCTTTGATTGTTGATCTCAAGATAATTAACTTTCAAGTTTGTTGCCAAAGTTTAACAGATTGTAACCATGGTAACATTGATAAACAATCAATACAGATCATGTGATGCATGTGACAAATAAAGAATTGATAGAGCCATGATATTTTTTTCTTATATTTTCCATGCATTCCCATTTATGAATTAAACTTTTCGATAACAGTTTTTAATTGATATGTTGTATTAAATTCTTTAAGATCAGTTATTGATATTCACCTTCCAGTGCATGTTTGTTTACTTTCTTCATCACATTTTTACCCTTGCACTTGCCCTGTGCAGAGGCAGAAGTTCTAACGAGAGGTCTCATAGATAAGGTCACTACATATGGGAACATACCAGCGAATAAGTGTCAGGTAGGACAATAATTCAATAGCAGTACATTTATGAAGATATTGATAATATAAAGGATTTTCTTTTACAAGAACGTTAATGTACACTTGTTTTATAGTAAAACTGCTATTCAAGTATATAAAACATATTCAACTTTTTTTTAAATTTGAAGTTTCATATGACTTCAATTAGTACCTAAATAAATAAAAAAATAAATAACTGGAAAATAACTAAAACACATATAACAATGGCATCATCATGAATAAACTTGATGCAGATACAGTGAAATATACCAAATAAAACAGGCTATAACAATATAATTGATAGTGTATTTTGTCCTATATTAAAGATTTTGGGAGAATTTGGCAAGTCTCTATTGAGTTGTAAAATACATTTTAAATTTAAACATATCCATACATTGCATTTGCCTCAAACTAATTCATTGATCCATGATCTTTCAACAAATGTGTGCTGAAATGTTGCCAATTTCATTTTGTCAACATCGTCAACCAAAGATTCTGCATCAAGTTATTTTACCATGGCAAATGAGTGTTAGTAAGGCAACCAAAACAGGACTAACTTTGTTAGATTCAAAACACACTAAAACTTTCTTCTGCTGAAAAAATTATAATTTACATGAACTGGTACCCTAATCCATGATGATAATGTCAGATGAGGTGACAATTTTTCCATGTTTTAACCCATGCATTAGCAGGGTGTGGTCAAGAGATGAAGCTGAGAGCCCATATTAGAGGTGCTTGTTGTTATTAGAGATGATTGACAGATTTGGTATCTGTCAATCAAACTTTGCTGAAAAAGCGTTGGCTGAGGAGTCAGTTGTTACATGGTCTTGTTGATAGCGTTGACCCAGAGCTACAGTTGATAAGATGTCAACGTTGAGACGTGAGGAGGTTGTGATTTGATGTGTTGCCTGATGACTTGTTTGAAGACAAAGAGAGAGGCCCTGTAAAGGGTTCAGTCATCACATTAATAAATACAAAATACACGTAAATTTCTACACAATTCAAGTCATGCACAGTGGTGTCAGAAAACACAAAATGTAATAATATATTTTAAATCATCAATGTGCTGAAAGAAGAAATCACAGATATTTTACATAGTAAATTGATTTGCACATAGTTTAAACAAAATTATACAAAAACATAAAAAATCAAATATTTCTCTTTACAGTCGTGTGATAAAGTTATTGTGATACAAGTTACATGAAATTTCTGATACGAACAAGTTTTAATATATATGTCATTTTGAGTACAATGTATTTCTAAAAAAGAATACAAGTATATTGTTCAACACTTATATGTGTGCTTTTTCTTTTATCTCTTTCTTCAACACAAATATTAATAAAAAATATTTGAGTTGTCAATATTTTTTCTGAAACAGGTTTGGCCTGCATAAAAACAGTCAGTACTCAGTATTAACAATTTAAAAAAGTATGAATTATTCGAAATACTAAGGATTTTCTTTTCCCAGACATATTACCTTAGCCGTATTTGGCACAACTTTTTGGAATTTTGGGTTCTTAATGCTCTTCAACTTTATACTTGTTTGGCTTTATTACTATTTTGATCTGAGCATCACTGATGAGTCTTATGTAGACGAAACGCGCATCTGGCGTATTAAATTATAAACAGGTACCTTTGATAACTAATTAAACAAATCAAAATACAAATATTTTCAATCGTATAATTCATTGAAAGGAAGTTTCGTCTTATCTTTGTTAATTCTAAGTACTGAATACAGAAGGACTGTCGATTGGAAACCCTGACCATTTACACATAAAGTATTAAAACCAAACATTGTTTTGATAAATTTCAATTAATCAATCTTTTATAAGCATTCAAATTAACCAATAACTACTTAAAGGGCCCTTAGCTATGAGATATGAAAAAAAAAATATGATTTTTGTTGGTTCAATCATTAATAAAAGTGAAATAGTGAAATCATAAAAACTTTCAGCAGTCAGCTGGGTTCAATTTTTTCAAAATAAGCTTAGAAACATCGCTGATGAATCATTCACTTGGAAGTGAATAAACGACCTCATTGAATCTGTATTCATATGACTTTCAATTTAACACCTTAGCTGGAGATGGGTTACGCATGTATTCAGCTATTAAAAGGAAAAGAATGTCAACATTGAAGGTGAAACAAGGATGAACCATTTGGTTGAGTGATGCAATCCACAAAAAAAATCATTCTTATACAGGTAAAAAGAAACTTACTTTTTAACCTACAATATGAAATCAAACAGACCTAGAAAAACCAAATGGCATGTGGTCGCTATCTATTTAAATTTATGTTTATTATATCGGATTATATGACCGTCAGCAGTCTTCAGATGTCATCTCAGTGGTTAATTAGATGACTAGACAAAAATACACACGAAATGCTTGTACATAGTATCAAGTACAAACATTTTTAATTGTTTATTTTAGACTTTTTGTAATTTGGATATACATTTTAGTATGTTATAAATCAGTTATGAGAATTTGATTCAAAGGGTGAACATGATTTGGACAGCTAATGCCCCTTTATATTCATTATACAATACACTTTCATGTTTGGTTTACATACTTGTTACACTTATACGTCAACATTTTAGTGGCATGCATTCATTTAGCCCTGTAGGATATGTAAACATTATGACAAGGAATAATATCCTTTTCCATTATGTGTGTGTCTAATAAATACGTTTTTTTTATATAAATTGACAAAAAATAAAGAAAGAACAAATATGACAAAAACTAGCCTACATTTGTGTCCAAATTTTCTGATTTACAGGAAATTCTCTGATTGTAACAATTAAATCATACAATGACATATGTTTGGAGTTATCTACCTTGAACGACCTCTTCCACTATAACCACCTCCTCTGCCACCACCTTGTCTCCAGTCATCCCTATACCCTCCTCCACGTTTAGGAGGACCGTCTTTGCCCCAGCGGGATTTCCCTGATGACATTTCTACTCTTACTCTTCTACCATTTACTCTCCTGTAAAATAATGTTAACGTTTAATGCAATGGAGAAGTTTTAGGTTTATTGTATATATATTTGTTTCCTGCCTATTGACGTTACAAAAATATATAGTTGTATATGGAGTTGTGATTGTGCAGTAGGGTAATAAACATGTGGATACAGTTGTCTTTGAAGAAGTAAAAAATAATCAATATTAAACACAACAACACTCGTAAATTACTGCAAAGTACTTACAAATATATATTAAAAGTTTGTTTTTTTATTTTGCTTTTCTTGTTGACTAAATCTCAAAAAATTACATTTTTTCAGAGTTTGATCATGACTAACATTACAATTCTTGTTATTTGGGCATGCACAATGACAACTTTTTTTACTTGATTTTGTCATTTTTTTATAGCTTTTTATATAATTTTCATTAGTAAATGAATTTGTGGTCTTATATATATGTGGGGTTACAAGGTGAACAATTTAAATTATTTTTTGTACATACATCTTGCATTCATATAAACATATACATGTATTGCATTCAATATAAATTAATTATCAACAAAGAGTCTTTAGGGACATTGACCACTACAATGTGATTCGATCACCACCAATCAAACAATTTGAACCACTTCCACTCAAACAGATGGTTGAACAGAAAACATTTGAAAGGTGTCCCATAACTAACATGCCAACACATTCTTAAGTGGTCCAATACTTACGTGCCATCAAGAGCCTTCGTAGCATCTTCAGCATCACGGGGATCTTGAAATTCAACAAATGCAAAACCTGGAGGGTTTCGAGCAACCCATACATTTCTTAGCGGTCCATATCTCTGAAACATGTCTTCTATTTCTTGTTTAGCAGCACCGTAACCTAAATCACCAATATATACTTTACAGTCCAGACGCCAGTCCTTTGTTGCCCTTGCTGCCATTTTTTACTACAAAAAATAAAACAAAACTTGCATTAATAAATATCTCTGTGATTTTTTTTTCTTATTCATAGGTTCTATATTCAGTATGCACCACTTCTCCCAAACATGTACAATGGAATGGCCCTAAGCCAAGTTCTCAATCAATTTTCAAAACTAAAATACCATATGAGTTGACTTATAGACATATCACTGTATTTTAACTTGCATTGGATAGCATGACAGGTGCCATTACGATTAGTGATGCAGGAACTTCTTACCTTTCCAGATCACATGAGTTGAACAGTTCAACACTGGTTTTCCTGGGGTTTGTTTGCTCAATTTTAAGTTTTTCATGTAGTGTTTGTTAATGTTGTATGTCATTTCGTTGTTTTTCTTTTAGACCATAGTCTTGTCTGTTTTTATTTGACTTATGATACTGTGGATTCATTTTTATTCGTGGTATACCAATTTTCCGTGGGTTTCGTGGGTCACAGCGAACCACGAATTTAAGAATTCAACGAAGAATAATCCCGAGAAATGTTTATGGAGTCGGATGTTTATTTCCGCTTATGTTTACAGTTCTAGTATAGTGTTGACTAGCGATAAACATTGTAACATAACACATGTTTTTATTGAAAGAAGATACAAGTATTTTGATTAAATTAATAATAAATATATCGAATATCAGTGATAATTTACTTTTTAAAATTGATTAAAACTGTTCATGGAAAATAACTGCAAGTTGTTAATTACGGTGTCATAGTTTGGTTTACTGGTGATTAAAAATCAATAGGATTAAGTATGGGGATATTGCCCGTAGGTAATACTGTTGATGACAGGAACATTTATTTTCACACCTTTTACTTATATGACTGTTTATTAGACGTGTTAGGAAAGGGATTTAAATACTGCGCTGATGTTAAATACCAAAACCGATACAAGATTTAAGTGTGGACTTTCTCAAAATGCAATTGCATTGAAAAGTAACCCGGCGTAGTATAGTTTAGCTTTGTGGTGTGCTTGATACAAAATGAAGCGAACGGTTAACGTCGACTCCAAATTTTAAGATGTGCATTGGCCTCTCGTAGATCTTCATACATTCATTTGTATTTGTTTGATTTAGGATTGCAATACAAAACTTTAAAAAAACATATGTAAGCTAAAGGGTCAAGAATGGGAATGACAGATTTTTACGGCCACAAGTCGAAATATATACATTAAATGATATGAGTAGAATATGTTTAACAGTGATATAACTCAGTTTGCCTCTCCACAAGTCCAGCACAAAATTCAACAATTTAACTTGATTCGTGTCTTGGATGTCTCCACAAAGTTCCGACAACCCTAAATGTTTTTAAACGTTCGACATAAACTTGACATTCTGAAACTCTTCTGTTTAGTTTTTTGCATTTTCTTTTTTCCTATTTCGGTTTTGTCTTATTTTGTGTCTCCTATATGGCGAAACAATTGGTGGAAGGTTCGCATAAATCTTATCACATAAATTAACACAGTTTGGAGGGAAATCCAATTCCAAGTTGTTGCCAATTCTTGGAAGAAGGTTGTCTTGCTGCGCATCGTTTCAATGTTCAACAAAACCACTTTTCATGAGCCATATGTGATTCGTATTGTCTATTACTATCTGGGTTTGAAGCAATGAATGAACAGATAGACGAAAGAATGGACGGATGGACCCATTTGGACCCATTCACCCAGCACTATATACTGTCCAATTTAGATAGCAGAGTGTATAGTGATGAAAGTTTGAGATGGTCCCCACTATAGCCTGTAGTGGTATTGGTATTTTACATCAGCGTCAAAATTGTATTGACTTTCCTAACACTTCTAGTATATCGTCAAAAAGAAATCCAAGAACTACGTAACGGATTTTTTTTTTTTTGGTAATCAGCGATCCACGAATTTACGTATACCACGAAACGTCTTTTTTTCTCTATCCACGAAAATTGATACCCACGAAAATGGATGAATCCACAGTAGTTGTTTCCTCAAGTTACATGTACCATCTGGAAACCATTTTTCAATTTTTAGTAAGACCTTGACCTCTGACCTATTATCACAAAAGTATACACTTTTTTTCCCTTCCCTATATCTTGATCACATAAAATTATACTGTAATAGATAGATTTAACTTTTATTTATCTAGGTGCTACCAGGCTTAAAAACATTTCATGTTGCACAAGTTTGTCTAGGTTCCAAGTACTCGGACTAAATATGGTAAATTTTGTAGAGAAAACACAGTCTTTTTTTTTTTAATCTTAGACAACTAATCCCACTGCCAACCCACCACTGAAATGAATCATTTCAATCACTCCCAACTCATATATACGAATGTTTCTGCCTACAAGCAATTGCAAATCTTAAGTAAAAATATATTTAAAATTTAAACTTTTTTTTGTTCTCATTGTTGTGATTTTTTTTTCACACATGGTAACATTCTCTTCATCAGTGGGACAGGTTTGTGGGATATTTAGGGCCATGAAAGTGTTGATAATGTGTGAAGAGTGGGGACAAGTTGACTTTAAAGGGATATTTTGGTAGTGGGGCGAGTTGTCCTGCTTGTTTAATAGTTATGATGAACCTTATATTATATGTATTTGGTCCCAGATTTGGAAAATATATGCATGGTATCAGCGGGATTCGAACCCTCAATCTAGGGATGTAAAGGTAGCACTTTAATCGACTGAGCCAGAGATCTTCCTACCAGTGCATCACCCAAGGCTGAGTTAACCCCCTAATTCTATGGAGCAGTTACACAACATTCACAAATTACAGTCAGAGCTCAGACATAAACAAGTCTAAATCTGCTTTTGACTCATAGAGATCTAAATTTGAAGGTTTCAAGATTTGTCTCCCTTTAATTTAAGACAAATTATGACTTCAATAAGTCAATTAGTGTTAAGCAAGAAATATTTGACCTAAATTAAAGAGTTGCAAATGTTGACTCCTTCAAGTCAATAAGTTACCAAAATTGGCCAACTTCAAAAACCATACATATTTATAAAAAGGTCATGCATCTACATGAAATTATGACAACATTGAAAGACAATGCTTTGTCTTCTAAGGAAAAATATGCATGAGAGTCTAAAAAATCGGAGATAATGTTTATTTACTTTACAATGCAACCATCTGTAATCACACAAAATGAGGAAAATAATCTATGTTAAGTAAAAATGTTCAATTAGATAATTGATAAATGTGGATAGTGTCCACATGTGGACACAGATGATGCCCCCGCTTGCATATCATATAGTTATAAAGGGACATAACTGAAGAACAGTAAAAGTGACGCTACCCAAATTTGAACTTGATCTGAGTTTTGTGTGTAAGTCTCATAACATTTGGTTGAGGCTAACTTAAGTAGAGAACAGAAACTAAAAATTCAGCAATTTTTCTATTTATAAAGGGGCATAACTCAATAATGGTTAAAGTGACACTACCCAAATTCAACTTGATCTGTGTTTTATCAGTGGAAGTCAAAATCAAACATTGCATTGTATAAAGCATTGATTGTAGTCATGGACAAAGGAAGATAACTCCAATTTAAAAAATAACTTGATATTTAGAAGAAAATAAAAATTTTGCAATTTTTCCATTTATAAAGGGGCCTAACTCTAGAACGGTTAAAGTGACGCCACCAAAATTCCAACTTGATCTGTGTTTTGTGGTAATAAGCATTGTGTGTAAGTTTCATAACATTTGGTTGAGGCAAACTTAAGTTAGAGAACAGAAACTAAAAAATTTGCAATTTTTCCATTTATAAAGGGGCATAACTCTAGAACGGTTTAAGTAACGCCACCAAAATTCAAACTTGATCTGTGTTTTGTGGTAATAAGCCTTGTATATAAGTTTCATAACATTTGGTTGAGGCAAACTTAAGTTAGAGGACGGAAACTAAAAATTTTGCAATTTTTCCATTTATAAAGGGGCATAACTCTAGAACGGTTAAAGTGACGCCACCAAAATTCTAACTCGATCTGTGTTTTGTGGTAATAAGCCTTGTGTATAAGTTTCATAACATTTGGTTGAGGCAAACTTAAGTTAGAGAACGGAAACTAAATTTTGCAATTTTTCCATTTATAAAGGGGCATAACTCTAGAACGGTTAAAGTGACGCCACCAAAATTCAAACTTGATCTGTGTTTTGTGGTAATAAGCATCGTGTATAAGTTTCATAACATTTGGTTGAGGCAAACTCAAGTTAGAGAATGGAAACCAATTTTGGGACGTACGGACGGACGTACGGACGTACGTACAGACGTACAGACGGACAAGGGTAAAACTTAATGCCCCCACCGCTACAGCGGGGGCATAATAAAAATAGATAGCTCGGGTCATTGTGAACTCTCACACAGGTTTATGATGCTATAGATGGTGCACTTTGGCCACTAATTAAAATTAAGTCTTTTCATAAACACAAATAGACCTAAACAAGTCTGTCATTTTCTGACTTAAATAAGTCTAAAATAAAAGTACATTTTTATAATAAATACATTTTTGACTTATGTAAGTCAAAAACAAAAATCGACTTGTTTATGTCTGAGCTCTGACTGAATTATGGTGTACAACTTATTTCAAGATTTTGAAAATACAGAAGAGTAGAAATATTTGGTGTGAGCACTTTTCCCTGGGCAAGTTCAACTGTAAATTTTATTTGTCTGGAAAAAAAAGTTACTGGCCATGAATTTCCCATTAAATATTCAAGTAGTTTACTTGCTCTGAATTTCCCATTAAATATTCAGGTAGATTACTGTAAGCTTGTACGATTCTTAAAACTGTTTTGTATTGCAATATAAATGATGTTTGTTTGTTTGTGTATAAATAAAAGGAGGTATGAGATTAACAATGAGACTGAAACCCAAAAGCAAAATAACCAAATAAATCTAGAAGGCAACTAACGTTTTGTCAATTTCCTCCGACACCTGTTTACTTTTACTATTTTCTTTCATCTGACAAGCTTGGTGTTTTGCAGAACATTGATGGGCCACCAAAGAGTCACTTCTATCTATTAATTTGCCATCAATTGAGTAAGATTTTGATCATCAAGTTGTTGGTGTTTCCTACAAATTGTACAACAATTTAATTTATGTTCAGAAGTTTCTTCACTGTAGAGCCTGGTGAAATTTATAAGCCACGACGTTTGAACTTCTCTTTGACGTATTCCTACTGGCTTGTCTTTATTTCATTTTTTTTCTTCGTTTCTTCATTGTTATTTTTATTCTTGTCATCTGTAGGTCCTATTGTAATTTTTTTTAATTTTTGGGCCGACCTAAGAGCTACGGTTCCGCAGCTAGTATTTATTCATCTTGATAAAACTTAGTCATGAAAAATCAAAATAATGCTTCTGTTTGAAGGCGGATGAAACCTGGTCAATTGAGAAAAATAATGCAATGTTTATGAGACCCAGATTTGCATACTAGTACTTATCTTTTTAATTTTGGTTATCGATTTATTTTCAGGTTTTTTAATACTTGTCGCCATGAACACTGATATTTTGACTTACTTCTGTTTTTTCAATTGTTGATCATTGGTTACTTTTACATAGAGTAATCATGGTAATACATATTACTGTATAAATAAGTTGTGAAAGTAATTCTGTATTTTTTAATTAAATTTAGTTTTGTCCAGAGAATTTTTATTTTACTTGTACACGGGCAACCGAGATAAAAAAAAATTACTATAGTATAGTAGTATTTAGTACTTGTCCGGTTGTTCAAATGTATGAGTCGAGCAAGTCGGGCATAGCATTTCCACACCCCTTATATAGTTCATGTACCAGGTAACCCAGGACCATGTGGGGCATAGGCAGTAATATATTCTGGAAATAGCCAAGGCATCAGTAGCTAGCAGAGGATCAATACTATTTGCCAAACTTGTACATGTAGCTATCCTAATGGTTCTGGAGCACTGCGTTACAACAGTTAAGGACTAGTTCTCTGAGGTCAAAATACTATCAGATAGCCAGACTGCTGTAGGCATCTTAACTCTAAATTGAAATCTTCAAGCTACAGTACCATTCAAACATTGACACAATAACAGACATTAGAGAAGGCATGAGGACACTCTTGAGACACGGCATACTAACAACCCTATCTTGGATCCCAGGTCATGCTAATCAATATAGCCACGAACGAGATAGCAGACAATTTGGCAAAATATACTGGAAAGGGGGCCTCATCGTTAAACAACCAACTTAATATCATAACATTATCAGATGTAAGTGCAGGCTACAAAACTGAAATGGCAAAGTAATTGGACAATTTGTGAAACTGAGAGATGACTTTTCGTTCTGGTACCTACTGGGGGGGGGGGGGGGGGGTGTACAACCTGACACATCACCACCACCACCACCACCACCCCCCCCCCCCCCCCCCCCCCAATTGTCAGAATTGAAAACAAGCTACAGCAGATTGAATGGATACAGAAACAAAATAGGTCAATCCCTCACAACATAGTCATAGAGTGAATGCATGCGGCAAAGAACAGACAACATAACACTACTTTATATACTGCCCAAGACACCAACAGGAAAGATAAGACATGATAAGACAACTGGAAATACTGAATATTCCACTAGACATATGATCAATACTGTCACCACCAGTCAGGAGACTTACTTAAATGAGTGATTTTCTAAATCACTGATTCAAGTAACATTATGTACATAAAGGTTGGAAGTAAGAGTTGTCTTTCTTTAATAATCACCTATTTAAGTAGTACAAATTAATCACTAGACTAGACAATTTTACTATTGAAAAGATATTATCTAAAGCTATGTGTTTAAAATTTTGGTAAAACTACAAAATCACAATTTGTGACAAAACTTCGAATTTGCTACTTAAATAAGTCCGAGAAAAAAAAATCTGTGTTTCTGGTAACCCGACCGACCCTGTTTTTTTAGCCCCGACCCTAATTTTTTTATTGGATCTTCAAAAAAAAAAAATTGGTATGAACCGACCCTGTTTTTGACACAGGCTTCTGTTAATCGACATAATTATTTATCTAACTGCACAGAAAGCCAGTAAAACATTTTATTTATGTCAAAAGGTATTCCAAATAGGTTAAAATCCAAGAAATTTGCACAGCAGGTGCTTCAAAAAACATTGCAAATGGCCGCACTTACGGTATTTGAAACTAATTACGGACACAGACTTGGAAAAACCATGATAATTTTCCGGATTTCGTTAACAATGTCAAAAAAAAAAAAAAAAAATCCGACCTACCGACCCTATTTGACAAAATGATGTTACCGGAAACACAGATTTTTTTTTTTTTAGCCTTAAGTCCCCTGACTGACCACCAAAGAGAGAAACCTGTGAAGCAACAGCACAAATTGTAGGGGTGTATACGGATAGATCAAGGCGATTTCAAGAACTGACAAGCCCTGAATCCCGATCTTGCGTCTAAATAAATATTGTAAAGTACTGCGAGAAATTACCATGAGCAATGGTGTATCATAAGAGGGAAAAACTAGTAGAGAGAGACAAGTATAGTGTCAATTTTAACCTTTAGGATCAGGATACATGCACTTCCTACTCTAGGTTACGATTATACATTCTTTTATGATTATACTTTGACAACAGCTTTTGTAAGATTTCCGTTTGTATTACACAAGAAGAAATATACAAGGTAAATACGGTTGCGTAAACAACACTCCATTCATGAAGAAAACAAGTAAGTCGGACATCAAGTAATAATTTAGATTTTTTCAAGTCTTTGATCATGTAAGATATAATTTTTGTATTCACGGTAAATGCAGAGAGTGTAATTGGTTACTTGTATGCAGATAGTGTTGTTATAGGAGTATTATTTTACAAAATTAAAAGTGAGAATCTGACACCTGTAAAATTCTTTTGCGACCTTGACCTACAATGTTAAACACAGGGTAAAAGACGTAAGTGGAAAGGGTTACACTAATGTCCTGACAATGTCCTGACAATGTCCTGACAAAGTCCTGACGGATATGAAAATGCTAATTACGTTTTCATTATTTAAAGGATTTACTTTAAATTTGGAACCAAGCAAGATGACAACATTAATTTATTAAATAAAAGAAAAAAAATAAAAAAAAATATTTTTAAGAGTTAGAAAACTTGACCTGACCAACTTCGACTTTGAAATCACTAATGTCCTGACCGATATGAAACGGCTTAATACTTTTTTATTATTCACAGGATAGACTTCAAATTCGATATCAAGGAAGATTAAAACATTTAATCCAAAAATATAAGAAAAAAATGCAAAAAAAATAATTTTTAGAGTAAGAAAACTTGACCTGACCAACTACGACTTTGCCGCGATTAATGTCCGGACCGATATAAAACTGCTAATTTCCTTTTTTTCTTTGGAAGGATTGACTTCAAATTTGACACCAGACAAGAAAGTAATATTGATTTAATACTTATTTGAAAAGAATTGGGAAAAAAATACTTTAAGGGTAAAAAAACTTGACCTGACCAACATCGACTTTGTCGTGACTAATGTCCTGACCGATATAAAAGTGCTAATACTTGTAACATTGTTGGTATGATTGAGTTCTTATTTGAAACCAAGTCAAATTATAACGTTTTCTTTTTAATACTTTTTATAAAGTAATTGGAAAACAATATTTCATACGAAATAAAAACTTGACCTAACCACCTTCAATTTATTAAACTTAATACACAAACAAAAACGTTTTTAGTTCTTACCTTATATTGTCATTGAATTTATATTTATCTTATCCATAAAACACAACATCCAAAGCAAATAAATTTTGTTAAATGAAAAGATAGGGGAAATATGAGTACAAGTTGCTGACTGTGAGTATTGTTTACCCCTCATCACAACTCTACTTCATTTGATTTGATTAATAAGTGTGACTAATGAAACTAATTATTGAATTATTAAACCCAATTAAATAATTATAAAAGTGAAATGTAATTAGTTACCTACATTAATGATTTTAATAACTAAGTAAATGGAAAGGTTTTTTCTTCTTGATGTAACAATTATAATAAATAAAAAAAAACTGTATAAAAGTAAACGCAAAGGAAGGTGATATGAACCATTAAAATAAAATCACACCTATATTAATTACTATAATCACAAATTGGAATGTTTTCTTTCCTATCTGATTATTTATTTTTTGTTTATCTAGTTATTGAGTGATTATACATGTCATATAAAGGCAGGAAATGAGATTCGTATTGTTTAAAAACGATGTATATACAAGCATATAAATTACAATTATGTTAGAATCACAAAGAAATAAAATAAATTAATACACACAATTTTCACTAACAGAAAAAAAGAAGACATTCAATTAAATTGAGTTCAATAAAGATAAATGGAAAAGAACAATTTAGTCACGATTACCTACCACAATGAAAAACGTTCATATCTAATATATAGGAGTTAACACAATACAATACAATACAATACAATACAATACAATACAATACAATACAATACAATACAATACAATACAATACAATACAATACAATACAATACAATACAATACAATACAATACAATACAATACAATACAATACAATACAATACAATACAATACAATACAATACAATACAATACAATACAATACAATACAATACAATACAATACAATACAATACAATACAATACAATACAATACAATGTTCAAGCATCGCGATGTTCATCACAGTACCAATCTTCTGAAACTCCTGAACATGTCTGATGAACCCACTTAGTACAGCTGATCCGTCCTCTTTTCGCTTCACATCCAATCATGTTCTCAAAAACATCTGGTTTACCACACTGACAACTACACTCAATTCTTCTGGCAAAAATCCTAACAAAGTCTGTACTTGATGTTGTATTTTGAGGAAATGGTGTAAAATGTCCTTTTTCCAAACACGATATTAAATGTGGTCGCATGTATTTCTCAATAAACTTCGTACGTCTTTGAGTGTTGAGTTTTTCTTTATGACAATATTCCACCATGTTGGCAATAGCATAAACACCACAGTCATATCCATTTGTTTGTTGTTGAACATCAGGTAATTTAACAAGCAAGTTCTTTTTTCCATGAGAATAAATAGCTGATAACTGAATTTCTGTCGATGGTGTTAATCTGAAATCTTTACTGTAACTATCTAACACATAAACGGCACTATCCTTTTTAGTCTGAAGAGATGTAATCCAATGAGATTTTCC